GAGGAATATTTTGTTTAACAGTATATTATGATGAGATATGAGGGATATGGCAGCTATCCACTCTTATGAGGGATATGGCAGCTACGGTTAACTGAGGGTCGGGGGGTGTGCTGTTCTGTGTTTTTTCGGTTTTGTTCCTCCCTGTAAGTTTGGGAGGGTTTGGTGCTTTTTTTTTTCTATCTGTGTTGTTTTTGTTTCTTCGGTGGTGGTTGCCTTATCCACCTCCGCGTTCTTTTGCTTATTAAAGTTCGTTTCTTCTCAGAAAAAAAAAACAGTATATTAGGATGAGAAGCAGGTGTATGTAAGTTGTTGACATTTCTTATTCTCAGCCTTAATTAAGAACTTTTGGCCAACATAGATATTTGCATTTATTAATTATTTTCTGAAGTTGTCTGCTTTGTTCATTTTATCGTCTTTACCATGGACGTGAACGGAATACGCAGGGGCTGAGATTGTAAAATATACGCTAGCTTCTTGCTAAACTAATTGATAAGCACAGGTCTGAAGATACAAAAATACTGTCATTCTGTCCAGAAAATTTATAAACTAAAATATGAAATCTGGATCGTATTAGCTTTTGAATAAGTATGAAAGCGAGATAATTACTTGAAAAATGTTTGCCCCACCACGGCCTTTCCAAGTAAAATTTTCGTGATTTTGAAAAGAAATGGCAGTTGGGAAGGCAAACTGCCATAAACACAACAAATTGAGGGCATTTAAGATGTACATATGACCGTACGTTTTAGGCTGTTTCCCCCAACATAGTTTCTGTCGGTTATCTTCAGGAAAGTCTGTCAACTAAACCTTATAATTGGATATGTAAATACTATAAGTCGCAGACAATCACTCTTCCTGATTGTTAACGCAATGAAAGATAGAGCTTCAAGTCAAAAGATTCATGATGCCTTCTTTTTCCCAAACAGTAAGCTAATTGAGTAAGTGTTGCCCTTCCGTGCAGCTGCTTCGACTCGATTCCCACCAATCTAGAAATCGTTTAAAACAACAGCTCCAAATTAGTGTTAGAAATGCAGGCCATGAGCAAAAAAGAAAGGGCAACTCACAGTAAGTAAACCAGAGAGGAATTCCTAATCATGAAAGCAGCTAACACGCTTTTATTCCACGATCCTATACTTGGATGTATTTTTTAGCAAATTCAAGGTTCACCGAAAAACATTAATTTGACAGTACAGAAAATACCTTGTCCATGAGCCAATAACCAACAGTTGGCACGTATTGCACCAAGTACATTACAGCCAGCACAGGCTACAGTAGACAACAGAAAACAAATAAGCATAATTAGGATAATATAAAGATTAAGGACAACATGAGAAATAAGTTTCATATTTTTCCAGACAGAAATCACAAAGGTGCACATATTCTTAGACAATTCAGTAAAACAAAATCCACAGAGCTAATTTGAAAAGTAAATCGAGAAATTAGACAATTGGTAATTATAAAGCTTAAAATATGTGTTGTCTAATTAGATTTGAAGCATGACTTGTTTGACAAGAATAGACCACCTTTGTTAAATATACTATCTAGGAATGAGTGTGAAAATATGCTTAAAGGCCTTGCATTGATAGGTGGAACGGTAAAATGGTAATCCTAGGTTGTGGATGCTTTTCATCATCACCATCTAGGCCTAGTCCCAACTGTTATTTTGGTAGCTGGACCTAGACAAAGAGGTACACTGATGTCAATACCTGGTACGATATCCAAACTTCCTTCAGACAATGGGTGGCAGCAACTATCGTCAACTCTGCACACCTTTCTGATGACACACGCTTCTGTTAAAACAGAAAGATAACAAAAAATGATTAAGAAGCATTTCAATGCAAGAGATTCAAATGATACCATGTCCCTAGCCCTCAAAGCCCTCTTGACAGCTCAAGTAGGCAGCATAAAAGTAACAAATGAAAAGAAATGAGATGCGTAAGGAGCTAACCTCAGAAGAAGCTTTATTTTCTGAGCTTGCTGCTCCAGAACCAGTTGATGTTTCTATTGGCCCAGGACAAACAATGGTCACCCTGATTCCTTTCTGATAGAGCTGCACTCACGAAATATGAACTAGTACCATTGGGTAAAAATGGAAAACTGAAATTGTATTTATGTTAACAGTTTCATTTTAATTTATAAACACACTACTACTCTTGGTGTCTTTAATTTTATATAAGCAAGCCTAGATACAACGGAGAACCTTGATCAGTGAGAACTGCAAAGATTTCCCACTTAGAAGACATTTACAACATTTTAAAGTTTCCCGTCTTTACCATTCCATTTCTTCGCTCAATATCCTAAACTACTGTCGAGTGTTTACTGTCACAACTGGTCCATTCTAAGGGACACAAATTGCCTTTTAAACTTTTCATTAGCATAAGCAAAGAAATGCATCATTAGACTGAAAGAGTTATAATTTTTACCTCGGAGCGCAATGTGTGAAAGTACCCATTTAATGCATGTTTAGAGGCAGAGTATACGGCCTGACCTGGTGCAGGTGTCTTTCCTGCAGCACTGCTCATCTGCATATAAACTTAAGAAAACAATAAAAGAGGTAACAAGGGTAAAGGACAAAAAAGGGAAAACAAACACAATATTGAGATGAAAAGAGAATATGCCTGGCAATTAGCAACAACAAAATTAAGCATCTAATGTACAGGAGTCACACGACAAATCCTATTAACCCATGTCTGGTTAGTCAACATAACTGCACAGTCTTGGACATTTGACATAGTCATGTACACCAATCTATCTATTAGGAGAAAATAGATCTATCTATTATGTGCCTCACAAAATTGCATGTCGTGCTTCATCCAATACATTATTTTCAATGTAATGAGTGGGTCTGGCACTGGCAGAGAAGTACATAGTAATATAGTGTCATTTCCCACATACCACGACAAAATGTCCCTTCCCCCGCCTCAGCATGTAAGGTGCTAGTAACCGTGTAAGCGTTATTGTCCCAAGAACATTGACATTGAATGTTGACTACTTGCAAGAAAGAGTAAACAGGATCACTTTTATTGATAATAAAAAAGAAGCATTTTTTTTAAGCCAAAAAAGGAAGGGAACACAGGACCATTGACCCATAGGTGCCAGTAATTTTCTTAGAGAAATATCTAGCACCAAATGACCCAAGGACTCCACATATGATACCTTCAGACTCTCCTCAGTAACATCCAAAGCCGTAGTTTTCTGCCATAGAACCAAAAAAATAAAATAAACGTAGAATGGCATTATCTTAAAAACAATGCATTCTTAATTTGTCAGCTTATATACATAAAATCACATGCGACAGAAGTGAATTGGCAAGTCTTTGTTCAAATCATATGTACATGCCAGTGCAGTGGTGCTGATTTACTGTCGGGAAAGCCACTGGCTAACAAATCAGCAAGACTGTCAATTGATGTTTCAACAACTAACAATGTCTCGCACTCAAGAATTAGGAATTGCCTACTTACAGGACGCTCGATAGCTGCATTGTGGATCATAAATTCAACACCAGCATTAAGAAAGAATGACTCTGCTTTCTCTACAGCATCCCTGAGACAATCTTCACCAGATGCCAAATCCAATGGCAAAACCTTTACACCATCAGGTGCATGTTTACCTGGAAAAGCTAACCAAATTAAGAGGGAGGAGAGGAGAGATGTATTTAAAAAATTAATGGTAGCTATCCAGCTTGCAGATAAAGAACAGACCAGTCAGTTGTTTCTTGACCCGCTCCAATTCAGCTTCATTACGTGCAGAAATAATGAGCTTAGCCCCCAAATTTGCAAGTTGCTTAGCAAGAACCTCCCCTTCACACCACCATTACAGAGGGAAAAGTGAGATAGTTTGTACATGGAAAATAACAATTGAAACATATTCGGTGAGAATGCTGCTTCAATATTTGGGCAGTTTTCACCAGATATAAACCACAGTAGCTAGAGATAAAAGAATCACCCCAAGCCATTCTGCTTATGATTATGAATATATAAGTAACATTACAACAATTTAAGATGCACTATCCAATGGAAAGTAGACGAATATAAAGCTTTGATGTTACAACAACTGAACTTAAGTACGGAAGCATTGCCCATCTACTTGGATAACAACCATCATCATTATAATAATAGTAATGACACAAACAGTGGTGATAATGAATGACAATGTCAATTATGAGACGTGTGACAGTCACAGTAACAATTATTGAGGCATCACAGAAAATTTCACAACATCAATGGACCCTACCTGCATAAAATGAGATAGGAAAACGAATGAAAAATGAAATGGAAGAAAAAAAAGGTAAGCGAGAGTATACCAATTCCACGGCTAGCACCAGTTATCCAAACAACCTGAAACAATGTTCATAAATTTATATAAATAAATAAATAACTCATTTGAAGAAAAAGAAAAGAAAAAGGAAAAGAAACAAAGTTTGTAAAATTGATATGAAATCAGGATACATGATATGGAAATGGGCTTACTTTATCTTCAATTTGGTCGCGCTTTACAGAGCGTTTGGACATCAAAGTAAAATCCCCTGCTTGCATAGAAATACACAAGGAAGGAAGTTAGAGCTTAGAGCTTAGAGCTGAGGAACTAATATATGTTTTATGGTATACATTTGATTGGAGAGAGAGATTGAGAGAGGGTTGGGAATGAATACCATCAGTTGTGGCAAATTTGATTGATAGAAAGAGGAAAAGAAGGAGAAAATGAAGACCACCAGCACCATCGCCTTCTTCACTTTGGAATTCTCTCAAACTCTTGTTTTGTTTCAGTTGGATCTCACGCTTCCCTGTCTTCAGTTAGTCTGTTCACTTGAAGGGCGGTAAATCGGTGGGATCAGCTTCTTTTCGGCCCATACTTTTCTTTTTATCGAAAAAGCCCACATTTTGACTTTCACCGGGTTTATTTACAACGAACTTCGGGTCGGGTGTCCAACTAATTTTCTTTCTTTAAACGACGACGTTTGGTATCAACCAGCCAGAGTATCTTCTCCCTCACCCAACAAAACAACCGAGAAAAACCATTTCTCGCCCTTTCTTTCGTTCGTTCGTTCATTCGTTCATTCATTCATTCATATAGTTGAGTACGCATTTCACCCATCAGTAGTCGACTAGCTTAGCAGGCAGAAGGTGTAAAGGTTTTGCTCAATGGCGGCGGCTGCGAGGAGCGCGATACTTAAGTACCTGAGAGTTCCAGTTCCGGCTGTGCCATCAAACCCTAGCTCCACCACCCCTCTCTTTCTCTCCCCCTTTAACGCCATACGACGCCGTCTCTTCTCCGAGGAGGTCAGGGGCACGTTCCTCGACAAATCCGAGGTCACCGATCGTGTTATCTCTGTCGTCAAGAACTTCCAGAAAGTCGATCCCTCTAAGGTATATATAAAACAGTGTTTTGCCTCTAGCTTTCTCTAATCTATGGGAGTTTTCGGTTTCCTTTCTCAGAAAATTGGATTGAAAAAATAATTAAACCGATTGCATTGTCAATTGAAGCTTTGAACAACTTATTACTGCTTCTCCTGTCCTTTTGTGGATTGTTCTGTTTGATTAATTAGAAAATGACAGAGAGTAGAGTAATTAGGATTCTGAAAAGTTGTTATTTCTTCATATTTCGCAGGTAAGATTCTCAGAAAAAAATTGTTTATTTTGACTTAAAAATGTGGTCATTTTGTGTTTCAGGAGTTGATTTTATGCTTCCAAGATCCGTTCTATTGAATCATTAGGGTTTTGGTATGTCAAATGTAGGGTCATTCAATGTTGTTTTGCATTGTCCAGTCATAGCATCTTGTTCTTCAATATGGCACGCCCATTTGCACAGACATAACATATGCATGCGTAGATGTACATGTGGGAGTGAAAAATTGCTATTGGGTTTATGCATATTTTTGGGCAGATGGTGAAGTCATTTCTTTCAATGCAAAATCAATGGCTGATTGGTTATTTAGATTCGTCATTGTATTGTTTTTATTAGACTAAAATGTACAAGTAGAAAATATGCTAGCTTTAGCTGTGCTCAGATATGCATCTCAGGCAGGAACTGGAATGCGTCATTACTTTATTCACAATAAGACTTTGGTATATCGTTTTCCATCAACCACACAGTGCATAGCTTTAATTTTTTGAGTCATATTTATTTTCTTATTCAGTGCTTCTCAGACTTCTTAAATTTCTATTTTTGCTCCTCCAGGATTACTGGAGGTCTTGAGAATCAGATATTTTCTCATGAAGCATGAATAGAAATGTGGGCTGAAATGAAATATGTAATGGACCTAGGTCGTATTTTATTGCTAATGTTAGGATTTTGTTTAACATTGTTGGTTGCTAAAGATGGGTGTGAGCCCTGGTACTTGCATCCATTATTTAATAGTTGTAATATGTCATAAGCATTCTTTTTGTCTTTCTTCTTTGACCCAGGATTGCATACATACTTGAACATATTCCTCCATTTTACTTTTACATCAGTTTCTGTGCTTACTTGTTGAAATCAATACATTGTGAATGTCCTATGTACTAAATTCCAATAGAAAGTAACATCCAGTCCTGGTAATTGGCACGTGCTGAGCTCAAATCATGGTGAAAAGGGATATTCTTTCTTTTCTTATATTTATGTAAGATTAATCTACTTTAGAGAACTCTATGTGCATGTTCATTTTCGTTCACATTTGATGCTGATTTCTTTTCTTTGGGTGACTGTTTTAGTACGTTTCATTTTCTATGATCTGATGACCCCACTTTTTTTTTTTTTTCAATCTCCTCTTTTGGCAGGTTACACCAAATGCTCATTTCCAGAATGATCTTGGATTAGATAGTTTAGATGCTGTGGAGATTGTGATGGCTCTTGAAGAGGAGTTTGGGTTTGAGATCCCTGATAATGAAGCTGACAAGATAAACTCAATTGGTCTTGCTGTGGACTTTATTTCTTCTCACCCTCAGGCGAAGTAGGGGAAAGGCATGAGGCTCCTTTTTTAATTCTCTCTACTTTCCTGCAAGGAATAGATGCCAGTAGAACTTTTGGATATTCTTACCTTTTACTCCCATTTCTAAATACCCATTTAGGGTTTGCTGCTCCTTTTAATGTTGTTTAAAGAGAGTAGTATTTTGTTGGTATGCTTCAAACATGGGTGCTGCGGTTCCAGCTTATGGATGGAGAGTGACTCTTTTATTGTTTCGTAGATGTTTTGTTTAAATAAAAATCATCCAAGTTTGTTGCTGTTATAAAAACGTCAGTCTTATGCGTGATATGTGATTAAAATGTCATGATGGACGTTTTGCCGTGGATTTAGGTTTTAGGTTTACTTGATTGAAGAAAAATAAATCAAGTGCACTACTACTTAGGAAAGGAAAGGGCGAAAAAGACTCTGTAGAAAACAGACGGTGAAAGACTTCGCGTAGCGTTCGTTTCAATTATCATGCTGCCCCCTTCTTCCTTTCATCCGCACAGAAATTCCCTTCTTGAAGATGTAGTGGCCGACTGGCTGGGAGAAGAAGACTTTGATTAAGTCAAGTCTACCCACCAAGTCTTCTGTAATCTTATGCGCTCTTTCCTCTTCAGAGGAATGCCCTTCCCTTTCCGCAAAATTTACATTTATAATATTCCTGCGATTATTATACAATCACAAATTCACAACAATAATCTTAATACATTATATATGCATCCAATTCCATTCCATTGGCTGATGCAGAAGAAGAAGAAGACGACCGAAGACCGAAGACCTGCTTGTCATCTTGCAGGCCCCATTTAATAATAATAATAATGTTGTAAGACTTGAGTCGCACACTTTTGATTGGGTAATGCACCGTTTCATTCATCTGTGATTGGTTGGTTTGGGTTCAATATACAAAGTCAACAATCTTTTTCTTTCTCATTTGACGGGGAAACACTATTCATAATTAAACTTTAAAATTTTAAAAACAGACAGGAAACAAGGATACCCGAACACAACGGCAGTGCCCAGTCAGTGCCAGTGGGAGAGAGATAACATGAACATGAACATCAACATCAACATCAACATGTTCGAACAAAGACTTCATTTTTATGCATTTTCCAAGGGCATCGTCGAAATTAAAGTAGAAATCTTGGGCAACCTTTTGCTTCCACTAGTATAAGTAAGCCACAAGACAAACACTTTCTTGGAGAATTGAATTGAAATGGCGAAGCTGCCATGCCCCGTTACTCCTAGTCATCAACACCTGTTCTTGCTAGTAATAATAATAGCACTCTCCTTGCTTTCTTTTTGCTTTCGTTCTTCGCTTTCAGAGATCATTTTCGAAGAGCGTTTTGAAGGTATCTTTATCTTACTTGCTTCTTTCTCCTTCCATCGCTTCAATTTTACTTTACTTAGTATATCATTGACTTGCATTTCCCATTTTTACTTGCTCCTCTGAGAAAATATCTATAATTGTTACCAGAAAAAGGAAAATTAGTTCAGATTTGGTTTTCGTTTTTGGTTGAGAATTCAGAGTTGCATGTGTGAAAAGCAAAGCTTTGACAGTGTTTAAGTTTTAATCTTTATTTTGTTGATTTGTTTGAGTTAGAGGGGTGGCAAAGACGTTGGGTTAAATCCGACTGGAAAAGCAGTGAAGGCAAAGCAGGTTCCTTTAAACACACAGCTGGAAAGTGGTCTGGAGACCCAGATGATAAAGGTATATCTTCTCTCACTTATTATCATTGCTGCGATTTCTCGCTCATTATATATATATATATATATATCTCTTCTCTCACTTATCATTGCAGCTATTTCACTGCTATGCTATGTTGTAAAGTCCTGCACTGCATATATATACAAGTTGGTCTCTGATGTGTTTTAGAATTGTTGGAAAACCCTTGACCAATTCAATGTTTTTTATCATGTCACCTTTTCTTCCTTGAAATAGAATTTAGGGTTGAAGGTTTGTGAAAAGTGAACTCATTTCTTTCCTAATGTAATGAATTGCAGCATCATTAGTACTCGACAACAGTCAAGGTAGTTAAACTTCTGGTTTTATGATGGTATGTGAAATCTTGCAGGAATTCAGACATCAAATGATGCCAAACATTTTGCCATATCTGCAAAGATACCAGAGTTCAGCAACAAGAACAGGACGTTGGTCCTCCAATACTCTGTACGGTTTGAGCAGGAAATTGAATGTGGTGGGGGCTACATAAAGCTTATGTCTGGATTTGTTAATCAAAAGAAATTCAGTGGGGACACTCCATACAGGTTAGAATTCTCAATTCCCAACAATGTCGCAGTTTTGAGCTTCTCTTCAACCAGCAATGATTCCTTAAATGGAAACTGTTCATTTGTTAATTTTATCTATGGTTTTCTCCTCATCTCCTGTTTCCTTTTATAGATGTTCATCCTTGTTTAATTAATGCTGAACTTTCTTTGTGTAGTTTAATGTTTGGACCAGATATATGTGGCACGGATTCAAAGAAGCTCCATGTTATACTCTCTTACCAAGGCCAGAATTACCCCATCAAGAAGGATTTACAGTGTGAAACCGACAAGTTGACTCATTTTTACACATTCATTCTTAGGCCTGATGCAACGTATAGTGTCCTAGTTGACAACAGAGAAAGGGACTCTGGAAGCATGTACACAGACTGGGATATTCTTCCTCCAAGAAAGATTAAAGATGTTAATGCAAAGAAGGTAGATTAAAAGCGTTGATGCAAAAATCGGTTCTATCAAGTACTTAAATACTCACTACATATTCATTAGTCTTTTATGACTTCACTATGATAATGTTTTCAAAGCTCAGCAAATCTGTGAACGACCTTTTCTTAGAGAGTAGGTTATAAATTTGAATCCCTACAATTTTTTCCTTTATCTTATAAGTATCATTTTCTCTCTCATAGCCAGCAGACTGGGACCTTAGAGAATACATTGATGATCCTGATAGCGTCAAACCTGAGGTATGGGAACTTTATTTTTCTTCTTTTCCTAATGCTTGTCTCTGGGACTTATCTTTGTAGTGAATATATCATGTGTTACATACTGTTGATGCATATCCTGGTATTTCAGGGATATGATTCAATTCCAAGAGAAATTTCAGATCCAAAAGCTAAAGAGGTTAGCTAATTGCTTATGGAGTAGTATTATAAACAAAGCTGCGTATCTAACATCTGTTTGGCCTTTCTGATGTTGGACAACTATTAGACCCTTCATTGTGTAATTGAACCATCAAAAGGCTACTCTGTTCTCCAATACTATCTTCCCTTTCTCTAGTTTGACTTTTAGTGCTGTTCTCTTTGCGGTTTGATGAGTACATATTTATGGAAAGATGAGAAATTTAATCAATAATTTGTTTGTTTTCCCCTTCTAATTAGCCTGATGACTGGGATGAAGAAGAGAACGGTTTATGGAAAGCTCCAAAGATACCAAATCCAGCTTATAAAGGACCATGGAAACCCAAGGTAGGTGGTACCGTAGGTTAATTACTTTTAGAGGTAACAGATACAACCGAAGGCCAATTCTTTTCTAATTAGCTTAACTTCTTCTGGCATGTCAGAAAATCAAGAACCCCAATTATAAAGGGAAATGGAAGACTCCTTGGATTGATAATCCAGGTAACTTTGATTGGATAGCTATACTTGCTCTGTCTATATCAGTAGAGATAATTGCATGTGCAGATCTTGGAAAAATAAAACATGCTAAGTTTCCTTTTTCTCATCCTATGCAGAGTTTGAAGATGACCCTGATCTTTATGTGCTTAAGCCAATTAAGTACGTGGGTATCGAAGTTTGGCAGGTAGGACATTATCCATTTGTGAATTTGAGGATGGCATGATCACTAATTCATTATGTTAATGGGGTAAAATAATGTGATGCAGGTAAAGGCTGGTTCAGTTTTTGACAACATTTTAATTTGTGATGATCCTGAGTATGCCAAACAAGTTGTCGAGGAAGTCTTTACCAATAGAGAGGTAAGCCTCTTTTGACTGTCACTGGTATTTCCAAGTTCATTGGCAGTTCGTCTTATGCACTTCACTTATGGCGTCTCAGGCTGAAAAGGATGCCTTTGAAGAAGCAGAAAAAAAGAGGAAGGCACAAGAGGAAGAGGTTCGTGAGCGTAATAACTGGTTTATTAGAATTTTCCGTCGGGCTTTGTTGAGTTTCATTCATAAGTAGTTTGAGCCCTTATTGTGCAGGAAGCTCAAAGAGCGAGAGAGGAGGGTGAAAGGAGGAGACGAGATAGGGGTTACGATCGACGTCGAGACAGATACCGAAGGGTGTGTTTGAATATTTTGCATTAATTTTTTCAACTTTCATCTAATATAGGTTTTTTCTATGATCACCTTTGCAATAAAGGTCACTCAAATCCCTTATACCTAACCAACTAGCTCTTGGTCTAATGGTAATCAGTGTCCTTGTTATATTTTCTAGCTAATGACCATATAGGCCCCAGTTCAAATCCTCTCCCCCCCCCCCCCCAAAAAAAAAAAAAAAAAAAAAAAAAAAAAAAAAAAAAACCCCTCATGAGTATGCAGCGTCCAACCAAAAGCTGTTTCACTTCCTTCCAACCAAATGAGAGTTGAGAAATACTTCTTCTTGTTATCCTCTTTTCTTCATTTCCAACGAAATTGGGATGATTTCCTCCTGTTGTGGCTGTTTCTGAACTAAAAGCCTATTTGAGACCTTTGACCCTTGCAAATAAGCAGGAAGGTGATCAATTAATTGGACAGTTTCTGTGGAATTTTGTAGCCGCTGGCCAATTGACGTAGATTCAGTAATTAAGTGGTAACTTGAATTAATGTTTTTTTTTTTTCTGCCCTACTTCTAACTTGGATGTTTTATTCTGCAGCACCGCCACCGTGATTGGGATTATGATCATGTAAGCATCATTCAATGTTCTATGATCTGTCGTTAAATTAAGCGCACCTACTTATTACAGTAAAGATTAGATGGCCTTTTTCTAATTAATTCTGTAATTTATTGATTTGGCCTTGCAGGACGAGCTCTGATTGGGACTCTGGCCTCTGTCGTGTTGTCAAGAGATCCGGAGATGTTTTATTTGGATGTCCTTATTCGCATAGCTTTATTTCTCAAAGTATTTTGCATAAAAGGTTTAGCTTCCTTCCTCTGTTTAATTGTAACGAGTATTCCTTGAAGAAGTAGCAGCTACGCCTGCTTTACCAACAAACAAAGCCCGGCTTTTTTGTTTTTCTGGTTTCTTTCTTCTTTTTCTTTTTGTAGCTGCCAAAGTTCAAACTCTGCATAAAAAATATCAACCCCGCTACATACATAAAAAATAAAGCCTGGCTTTAGTAACTCTTGGTATAATTTTCTATTTGGATTTTATACATTAATTTTGGTTGGTTCATAGCCTCGTTTCCGGTTGGTCTCATCTGATAGTCTAGAGGAAGTAGAAGCAGGAACAGGGGAAGGCAGGTGAGAGAGCACAAAAGGGGGCACAGATATACTGGATGTGGGGACGACAAAGCCACATGATATTTGTAGTTTGTACCCCCTTTCTCTTCTCTTCTCTCACATTAATGTATTGGCGCTTTCGGCAACTTTCCTCACTCTTCTTTTTACACCCTCCACAGTCCTACAGTCTGCTACAGTGCTAAGCATTTTGCTGTTTCAGATATATATCTAACGTAAGATATGACCAAAATCTTCTCCCCCCACTTTTCTCTCTCACACTCACAGTTTCCACCACTATATTCTTCATCATACATTTTTGTAACATTGTTGTTCGTATTGCCCCCACACCCACATTCAAAAAGCTCTTGTCATTCCAAGTGTTTTAGAATGTGTCCCCAAAACTTCCAAATGACCAATCATCTCATCTCATCTCATCTCATCTCCATCTAATACCAATCCAATCACTGTGGACACACTTATAGCTTCAGCCTTCACTAATAAAATTTCAACGGCTATCTTTTTATTCTTTCTATTTTTTACACAAACAATATTAGAGAAAAGGAAAGCAAATCTAGGATTTCGAGTGTGTGGGTATATACAATTAACCACGTCAACTATAAGTCCCTTGGCAATAATAGCTTCCTTTTAACAAAACTGCTTATGAATAAGAGCATTGCTTCTAGCATAAGAACTTATATGAACACAAGTTATTAGGCATGTTAATACTTACCTAGTCATAGCAATTGATTCCCTTCCTCCCCTCTTTTAAATAAAATAAAAATAGTTATCCCAGTGACAGTTGTATTTTTCTAATTCCTTCGGTTGGTTTTTCAGCCTTCAACATATGGAAACAAGACAACCAGTCAAACAAGTTATTCTAAACCCAAAAATCAAGGTACAATTTGTAATGATAAGATTATCCTCTCATGAATTCAGAATATTCTTTTCAATTGAAAATTGTAGTGTTCACTCGGTAGCTGGAGGTCCAAAGAATTCAACCAGATCCGCCAAACCATAAACCCAAAAAAGAAGAAGTACCTAACTGTAATTATCCATTCATAATTCAGTTATTCTATTAGGGTTCTTCATTTTTTTTTCCCCAAAGTAGTGTGAGATAGAAATTTTTTTTTTTTTTTGGGTCTGAAGTGTGAGATAGAAATAGAATTACTTGAAAAAGAAAAAGAGCTACTAGACATGTATTTAACAGGAGAAATGACAATTACTTGCACATGGAGCGAAAAAGAAAGAAAAAAGGAAGGGGAAAAAAAAAGAAAAAGAAGAAACAATTGACAGACAGACACATGGCGACTTGCCAGGGGCGTCTAATCAAGTGGATCCGGCGGCGCCAGAAGTTGAACCGGAGAGCAGCGTGGTCTCATCCGGTACATTAATGAAGCTACCAAAACTGGTTGCAGTTAATAATGATTCTCTCCATGGCGCCATGGCGCCTTGCAATGTCATTTGTGGAATTTGTTTTCTTTATTTTGCAACTGCTGCAAAATCCTTTAGAAATACATGCAAAATTCTTTATAAATGCTAATCCCGAAGCCTTCATCAATTCAACCTCCCATTCCCAACTGAAAATATAACAAAATTACTAAAAATTTACAACCCTCATGAAGGTCCCCATGGGATTAAAGATACAACAAAAAGGTCGAACCTACAATGTCATTCATTTCAGGTGATGTCAAATCTTTGAAAAGAAAAATGAGCAAACAGACTATCTTCTTCGCACAGCAGAACTTGACCCACGCTGGACAGCAGCTGGCTGCTGTGCTTGGCCTGCTGGCTGACCAGCACCCGGTTCCTCTGCCATGTTCATTGCTTGGGTTATGGCATTCATGACAATGAGCCCAAGCGGGATTAAGTACATCCACTGGTACATAATAAATCAGTAAGGCAAATCAATAAAATAAATCTATGGGAGGGAAATATGGAGACGATTAATTCTGTTGATACTCACATATTTAGCCCAAAGGGACCTTTCTGGTGGCGGTACAACTTCACCTTCTCCTAACTCACCTCCAAGAATCTCCTCAGCAAACACTGGAGCTCTGTGAAAACATTTTGTCATAAGATATTAACTTACAGGGCCTTCACAAAGACCTCCAATGATCGGCATAATGTAAGACTGTAGATAGTATCGGCATTTAACACAACACAGTTAGATCATTCCATTGATTACTAATACCCTGAACATCACCTAATAAATAATGCAGATCAACCAAATCAAATGCCAATTTTGTATCTACATTTCTATCAACCATGGAAAATTAATATTAAAAGGAAATACAACTGATATAAACGCACAGGGTACTCTTTTAGATAATCAGGTTCACCTTTTTCTATTAACAAAGTTGAGAAGTATGAAATAATTAACCTTCCGTGAGAGTTTAAGCAACCAGATCATGCCAGAATATCAACATATAATGAAGAAAGAAAAAATGCAGAAGCATTTCACCTTGGAGCTTGCTCACTATTCTTCAAAACCGTGTGAGAGTTAAAAGACCACTTTCCAGGCTGAAAATACCCAACCAAAAAAAAAAAGGCATTGGAACAAGGTCAGCTTATTCAACTCAACTTTCTTTTCCATCCTCAGAAAGCCTCTACTTTCATTCACACACACACACAAAAAAAAAAGTTGCCACATATCTACTCATCTTAAGTCCATTGACAATAAAAACCAGAGAGAAAAAAAATATCGATCCCGACTTACAAGTTTCATTTGCCGAGGATATGGACATGCCCCAGGCGAACCATAATTAACTGCCAAGATATTAATTCCATCCTGTAATACAAATTTGATCAAGAATAAATTGCATAAGACTTGATGATTGTAAAGCCACAAAAATATGTCTCATTGAACTGTAAAAATAGGTATATAGTCTGAAATATCTTCCAAACCATGGGAAAACAACAGCAAGAGCTTAGAAAGTTGAAAGTTACCGTGTGTATAACGAAATGCTCATCCAAACCATCCCGTGGAAGACATCTCTGGATATGTAAGAAAGATTGTTAGTAAACCTGCAGCCTTAGTGATCATATTTGTATTGGAACCATAAAACTACATGACAGAGGGTGCGTAAGACTTGCCGCTTTTACTGAAGAAATAACATAATCCCTCCCAGGAGGATTCAAAACACTGGACGGCAATCTTATCCTATAGAAGTCATCTCCCTTCAATAGTAGCTACAAGAACAGCATCAACATTTCAAATTAAGAAAGAATGCTAATATGGTAAAAGCAGGAAAAAAGAAAAAAACATAAGTTGGTTTTTGTTTGGGGGGGGGGGGGGGTGTTTACTGCAAACTTCTCCTTCTCCTCTTCAGTAAAAGCATTCCTCGAAAATCGTAGCTTTGTAAGGGTCTGTGATCAATAAAACCATGTCATAGTTAAGATGCATCTTAGGTTTTCTAGTATTACAAAGTGAAATATAAGGCCCGAGAGTTTGCAAGTAGAAAAAACTAAGCATGAAACGATGCTCCACTAAAAGGTACAATCAAATAGTCTTAAGTAAACTCCCTAAGTTCATCATCATGCACTTGCATCCATTGACTTACACCTACGAATTTATCGACTACATATTCCTTTCTTTTCACCTAATTTTTTAAAGAAGCCGGTCTAAAAGACAAACAAATCCAGTTCAAAATTGTGAATTCCAATCTCAAGAATCACCAATAGCCTATTTAAATAACAACCAAAGCCACTGCAAACATGAAATTGCAGCTTCGCACCAAAATTAGAAGGATAAAAGAAGAAGAGAAGAACGCAACCAACCTGACCACCGTGATTCCATGTCTTCAAGCGAGCACTGAAAGTACCAGCGGGCGAGAAATCAGAGTCCCCAAAGGCGTGATGGAGCTGGAATTGGATCTTAGAGTCCGAATCCGGATCGGAAAACCTCTTCCGGGAGGTTGATGAAGTTGGTGGTGATGGTGGTGGAGGCGAGGATCTTGTGTATGTGAGATCAGGAGACTTAGTGTGCAACCCTCCTTCTAGACCGAACTCCTCGTCGTCCAATAAGAGCTCATCGGATTGGAAAGCTGCTGCTACTGAAATACACAACAAGGCGGAGAATCCCAAGACCAACAGCAAGCGAGAGAAGGAGAGAGCCATTTAATTTGAGTTTCAGTTTCAGTTTCAGTTTCAGTTTCAGTCTGTGACCTTTTATGAGAGGATTGATCGAGGAGAGTGAGGACTGGAGAACGATAATGGGCCCAAAAGTGAAATCGTAATGGGCCCGGGCTGACCTGCAAATGTATAAACCCACGAGGGCATATGAGCAAAACAAATATATTATTAAAATTAAATACAGTGAGTGGGCACAATCTCACAAACAAACACAATCCAAATCCTCTTTTAATAATTTTTTTCCCCAAAACTCTCCAAATCCCTAACGAGCCCTAATCTCTTTCTCGCTCAGTGAGCCAACTGAAATCCACCACTCCAAAGTTGTAGAGACGACTAGAGGGGGAGTGATCAGCCATGGACGCGCTGAGGAAGCAGCTGGACCAGCTTATGGGGGCCAATCGAAACGGCGACGTCCGAGAGGTCAACCGCAAATATTACGATCGCGAAGTGTGTCGCCTCTACTTGGTCGGGCTCTGCCCCCACGAGCTTTTCCAGTTAACGGTAAATCAAAGCCCTTCACTTATTTTCATTAAAAGTTGGTTCCCGAGAGGAAAATAAATTAAAGCTAGGTCTTTTGCCATAATCTTGAACCTAGATGACATTTTTACTTTTGCGTTGTCAGAAAATGGATATGGGTCCCTGCCCTAAGGTCCACTCGTTGCAGCTCAGAAAAGAGTATCCTTTTCAACTATTGCTTGCTTCAATTGTCTTTGAAATGAATGTACATTTGAAGGCTGAGATGAAATTTTCTTATTTATATACATGCTTGCTGATATAATTCAATACCAGTAAAGCTTAACTCTTCCCAGATACGAAGAAGCCAAAGCAAAAGGGACTGATAACTATGACAGAGACCTGGAGGATGTCATAGATAGGCTCATTGTTGAGTGTGATAGGAAAATTGCTAGAGCTCTTAAGCGCCTTGAGGATGATGATGCAAAGGCTGCTATTGCAATTTCTGTCTCTGAAGTTACTCAGGTAATGGATCATTCAATCTATCCTTTTTTTTTTCTTTGTAGGTAAAAAATCACATGGTTACCTATTTATTGATTCTTGTGCAATTCCAGACGCCAGAGGTACTCGAGTTGTCAAAGCAGATCAAGGAAAAGTTGAAAGAAGTTGATCAATTTGGTAACCTTTATCTAATTGCTATTTTCAAAACAGAACTTGCCTTCTCTTTGGTTTGCTTGGATTTTGTGTGTGCTTGTCTGTGTTAACAATACACAGATGCTAATCTTTTTTTTTTCTAAGTTTGGTTAATGCACTAAAGTTGATGA